CTCTATCCATTGAGCTAACCGGGAGGCGGTTTAAACACACTTGTGACTTTAAAAAAAGACACTCTTGTCACACTTGTGACTTAATCCCCTCTCTCTTGAACAATGTTACACATTGTCCAACACTGAGTCGAGGGAGGAAGCCATTGAAACAAACTGAAGTTCATTTTAGATTTTACATCTTCACATTTACTTAACAGTGGTTATGTGAATGCAGATTGTCAATGTAGTGTGTAGGTATTGGATACTGTAAACAACATCAGATAAGCCACACTTATGTATAGCCCCACCTCGGGTTTGGTATCTCAAATTTAGATAAAAGTTTCTGAAAGGAAATTGAAAGGAATCACAGGTGGATTCTGGAGAAATGTGCTTAATATTAGTCACTTCAATGAATGTCCTCACGTGTAACCTCCGTTACATTGAGAATGGAGAATACTTTGAATCCTTACCTTAACATTAGCTGTAATAGTATGGACATGATATTCCTTAATCTAGACTTACAGGTACATTTGATCTTAATCTGATAATGATCAACTAGTATTATTTTTGTTCGTGTCAAATTTTTAACAGAATGTTACACTTTTTTGGAGTTGTTTATAACTAAGTAGCCAGGTATTTGATACAGACTAGATGCCGAATAGATGAATAGCGTTAATTCCTGCAAACCTGTGGCACATTTACCAGATGTTCTCACAAGTAAGTCCCACCCCTTATTTATTACAAAAATTGTAGGAAAAAAGTACAGGTTATATGCCGGCATTTACAGTACTTATTACACTCACCCACAAACTGTTAAGTCCAGGGTTCGTACCCTTTTTCAAAAAAAAAGTTCAAGAACTTTTCCAGGCTCAGATTGATTTTTCCAGAACTCCAAATTTCACCTTAAACCCTTTAATTCCCAAGATTTCAAAATCAATTCTCCTCCTTATTGTCTATACACAATTCTTATAATGTAAATAGATAGAGATAGTAGATAGTAGATAGAGAGAAACTTTATTAACATGTCAAAGAACCTTCTAGTTTGGGAGATATCCCAAACTAATGTGGGGACACAAATAAAATGGACAAACATTATTTTCAAAGAATATTACCTACTTAAGAATAAAATTAAGTCATAATATGCATGAAAAAAATAAAAAAAAATGAAATGAATTAAGAATTACATAGAGCACAATGGCCCAAGATCAACCCCTGTCCAGGGCTTGAAAGTAACAGTAACCCGTTAACCAATGGTTAGTCATTTTCAACCTTTGGTTACTAAAAATGTGTCCAACTAACTCAACATGGTTAGTAAAATCTTCTAACATATTTAAACATTGGTAGACCTCAGGACAAAGAGCACGTAGACCCGCCTCTCAGAGGAATACTTGGAATACTCAAGTTGTTTAATCAACTTAAACTATTTTTAGAGAATGTGCTGTTGATGTACTCTTCTTGACTTATCATGGTAAACGAGAGGGAAGTAAAATAGGTGCATAATTGTCAATGTTTTTAAGGTCACCATGCAATTTCAGCTACTCTTTAATTTGTCCTAGTCATTATTATCAAAATGTTTAATATTTGACATATTGTAACTTGTGAGCTTGGATACCAAACTTGATAATTTGGTTAGTAAAAAAGATGTCTACTAATTATAACCCAAAGAGTTAGTGATCCAAAAATTAAATTCGAGCCCTGCTGTCCAAACCTGAATTTATTCAGTCACACTTCCTTTTCTGCAGAGACTTCAATCACAGCTCACCTGTCAAAATCAATCCGTCACACAACAAATTTTCTCAGTTACCAAATAAAATATTATTCTTACCTATTTCACTATAAATCTTCTCATAGTTCTCAGTTTCCAGCTCATTCATTTCAAAGACAGTCTGTGTTTTCCCAATGGCAAATTCGCACTGAGCCAGTTGAATAAGCATTTTCTGATATGTGGCATCACTTGAAGAGGGAAACAACACAAACAAAATGAAAAAGTTGTGCCATGTAACTTTTACTGAATCATCTACTTATGTTAATAGGGATCTTAACATGCATAATTTTTCCAAAGAGCTCTACAGCCGACCGTAATCTATAGAAATATTTATGCACAAGACATTCTAGAAACGAGTTATCCTATAAATCACACCTACAAATCTGAAAAAAAGAAGTCCTTTGATTAAGGGATACATGCATGAAACAGTACTAACTTGTCTTCCTCCTCGCCAGTGGAATTACACCATTTCAGAAATGTCTTCAAAAGCGCGGTAATTCTGCGATCGTCACCTGCACCTTCTCCATCAATCAACAGCCTCTTTCGGATGATCTCATCTTAAATTAGAAAGCACACGATCAACTTTATGATGACAACGCCAAATGCAAAGGTGTTTTGGCTCAAATGGGCCTTTCTAACCATAGACTATGTTCTAACTTACCATCGGTTGCCATCTTGAAACTAACAGAATATTAACTCCGTGAGAGCCTGGGGAGGAATTTTCCATTTTCTCCATAGTGTACATGAGTATAATGTGTCTCTCAATCCGAAAGATGGTTTCTGTCCATGGTATAGCTACGGTCGTTAAGAAAGTCTTAGAAACGTGGATTGTTCAGGAAGCTGGAATAATGTCCAAAGGGCAGTGCGAAACTTTGTTACTTTCCGAAGAGACTTTCCGTACCTTACCAGCAAAAGAAGGAAAGTATCCTAGATATCCACTTTATTTGGAAATTTCTAAAAAGTTATACCAGTGGATGACTACTGGGAATTTTCCTGCAAAAAGCCAATCTTGTGGATCTCTATCAGAGGAAGACTTCACTGAAGAGAGAAAAGAAATTTCTGAAAAAATTTGGCTTTTATTGTCCTCCCTTAATGATTCTTGGACAGAAATATCTGATAAAGAAAAGTGTCAACAGTTTTCATCTATCTTAAAATTTCTCGGCGTGAGAGGACTGCTTGATCTGCTTAATATTCGTCGCACGCAAGGCAGTGTTGATATTTTTCCTTCTCCTGTGGAAGTTCTTATAGAATCCTTTAATAAGAAACACAGACCAAATGCCAATTTGACAGTTGGTGCAAGAGCCTTATCAAAACATTGCCACAGGGACTCCAGTGAATGGTGGGGTGTCTGTGCAGGTAGCGAACAAGTTAAAAATGAACATGCTAATACAGTTGTAATGCGTATACTAGAGGATGCTTCATGGATTAATATCCACTGTCTGCCACATGGACTTAAAGTTATTGAAGTGAGGTGTATTGAAGGATATGGCGCAAGATGGAGTTATGATGGAAAAGTCTTCCGTGGATTTCTTGAGCCTCAAATGGAGGATGGTCATGCAGTAGGATGGAAGCATTGAACCTTGTACTCCACTGTGGTTTTTAATTTTCCTTTCCAACTTTCATTCATTTTCTTGTAAAATATTCTATTCTAATCTCTTGTTCTGTGATCAGCCGTGTATAAATTTACAAGGTCTGGCAAAACTTCCATTAAATTACCCCTCAAAGTTAGGGTTAAATGTCAGTATTTAAGTGACTCTCCTGGATTATCAGGGAATCTCCTGGATGCAGAAAGAGTCTCCCGGTCTCCCATGTGGTTCACCCTTTCAAAGGCTTTGCTCCACTGTTGGCTAACATCATATCACCAGATTTACTCAAATCAAAACAATTTTTTTCTTGTTTCTCAAACTGGTCTTGCAGTTGTTCTTTGTTTTCTATTTTTTTTTGTGGAAGGGAGATTGATTTGATCAAAGTGGGCATCTATTTTTTAGTTGGCGAGGGGGATGCAGCAGGCATCTCTGCAACTATGTCAATACAAATTTTGACCGCTTATGCAAAAATTGTAAGCAAATGTTTTTGAAATGTTTTTGGAATAATAAACAGCACTTTTCTTTTGCCTCAGGCTAAGGGGGCGGCATCAAAGCTAATAGACCACTTTCATAAATGGCTGCTGGATTAATATTCTTTTGTTTAAATTTAAATTAGCCCTACTGGCCTCGTTCTCCAGTACAAAATTKAAAAAAAAATACATTATCTCAAGCGAGGCCAGTAGGGCTAATTTAAATTTAAACAAAAGAATATTTATTCGGCAGCCATTTATGAAAGTGGTCTATGGGTTGAACTCTATTTTCTGGAGAATACACTTCAAGCAAATTGCTATGAAGAATTTATAAACCGCTGACTACAAACGTGAAAGCTGAGATATTTTGAGCAACTCATTCCCAGACCGACGCAGACTCATAATCCCCGTGTCGTCCCCCGTGGTTTAAATGGCGGTTCGAACATGTATATTTTTACTCTTTTTCTCTGCTTATTTCAATATTTACTGCCGTGTATCAGCACATAAAATTGTAAAAGTTGCAAACTACAACATTTGGAATGTTATGTTCCAGTGGGAAACAAGAAAATACTACATTGCGGATATGGTAATTTTTCACGTTTTTTCCATATAATTTCTTGTCCGTTTCTTGTTATGAATGTTCAACCTTCAAATATTTATGTATTTCCCGCTGTTTTGTTTCTTGGTTTTTGTGTGTGTGTGTGTGTGTGTGTGTGTGTGTGTGTGTTTTTTTTTTAGTGTTAATTATTTGGCAAGTTAGGATACTATTTTTCCGGATTCATTCAATGCAAGGAAGAGCAAAAATAAAGAATTTTTTTTTTATTTTTATCTTTGTACTTCAGGAATAAATTATTTACCACAGGAACCGACATTTGATATTTAAAATTTAACGTTATTATGTTTGACAAAGATTTTTGCAACTCTTAAATATAAGAGATTCTTAAATTGAAGATCGTGAGACTCCGGTTTTTTTTTTTTTTTAATGTTTATAAAATGTTTGGAAGTGTATAAACGAAAAAAGGTGGTAAAGCCTGGTTCACCTTACGATACCCGTGTTCATGTGTTTTGGAAGGATTGAAATTTTTTCATTTGTTTCATGTTGACATCAACCCAACGGCTTATTCAGGGCTCAACACCAACTGTAGCTCACTAGCCACAGACCTGTAGAAATTCAGTTTTGGCTGGTGGTTTTCGATTTCCACTAGCCAGTTTGGCTAGTAAACAAACTGAAATTGTCCTAACATCTAAGATGTCACTAGCCACTTGGCTAATAAGTTGAAAAGTTAGTGTCGAGCCCTGATATTTATATTGATTTTATTCATGTTGATTTTATTTCTTTGTTTTGTTTTCACATCATGACAAAGTATCATTCCATCAGTGGTCCATTTTTTTCTGGTTTTTGTTTGATAGAAAGATAGGTCAAGGTCAAACTGGAAACAAAACGGAATGATGTTTGTACAGACTGGTAGCCCAAGTTTATTTAACTCTCTAACTCCCACGAGTGACCAAGAGAGAATTTCTTCTAACAAAATCAATACAATATCAAGTACACAAATGTTGAGAAAATAGACAAATATTAATTAGGGGATTATCAGTTGATCCAAGACCAAATTCTCTGAACTGACATCATAACAATTGTATGGCAGACAGTAAGGAGAATTGCTAATGAGATCTTGTGAGTGAAAGATTTAAAGTGTATTCTTTTAGTGCTGTTTTGTAGTGATTCAACTCGGACTGCAAATAAAATCAAGCTTTTGTGTGGAGACCCTGCTATAATAAATTTGAAATTGCCCGTTAGTTTCTTGCTTTTAATTTTTTCAGATAAATAAAGTTAACCCAGATGTAATTGGTTTCCAAGAAGTGCGTGCTGATGCAAAAGATGACAGAAACCAGTTAACTGAACTTCAAGAGTTAATTCCACACTACAAACATTTAGTTTATCACCCTGTTGCCATGGTTACACCTCCAGCTGGTCGACAAGACCCACCAGGGTGGGAACAGGAAGGCCTGGGACTGCTCAGTAAACATCCCATAATATTAAGTCATGTTGTTAACTTAACAATTGGGAAAGGTGGTGTGGATCGCAACAAGCGAGCTGTACTTCACGTCCAAGTTGATATTGATGGAGAAGAACTGGACATAACAGTGCTTCACTTATCTTATGACAAAACTCAGCAGTGCCAAAATGCAGTGGATGTCATTAACTATATTGCATCCATGGGGAGTGAGCGCTCTGTTTTACTGGGTGACTTTAATGCATACGATGATTTCCATTGGCCTGTAAATGGAATAATGAAAGGGTCTTTTGACAAGGAAGGCCCTTGCCATGCATCCAGTTATTTTGACCCACAAGGATCAAACCAAGGATATGGCTTTGTAGATGCCTGGGTGACAGCAAATGGGAACAGCAAGGGATACACCTTCAGCAATATGGTGTGTTGTGAAAGTGTTTGCCTGCAACACCTTTGTATACATGGTCTACCACTGTTTGTGTGTTTACTCTTTCACTCCCCATGAGTGACCAGGGCAGAATTTCTCCTCATAATGCCAATACAACATCAAGAGGACAAGTGCTGAGAATATAGGAAAATATCAACCAGGGCCGGGTTTTTCAAAGCCGGGTTAAGGTAACCTAGGGTTAGCATGAAATTGCAGATCTGAAAGCTTTAAAAGAAAGCTGAGTTTGAATCTCTATGTCTGCAATTTGATGATTGCATATTCTAAAAAGAATAGAGAAAATTTTCCTAAAAAGGCTATTGAACAGACAAATAGAGAAACCTGGATTTAATTTTAATCCTGGGTTAGTGCTAATCAGCCTTCAAACAACCAGGCCCAGGGGATTAATAGTTGATCAGATACCAAATTCTTCAAAGTAACTTCATAAGAATTGTATGACACCCAGTAGGGAGAATTACTAATGAGATCTGAGGGGCAAAAGGGTTCAATAACATCTGTGGTGTTGGTTACGTCAGTGGTCATCCTCTTTCAGTTGTACTTTTAAAACAGGCTGCAAATGCAGATTGCTGACAGTATTTGGCTAGCTTCTTAGCGCTTCTCTGCTTCTGTGTTCCTGTAATCCTGTAATCAAGTTTAATGTCTTTGCGTGGGGCATGGTTGCCCATATTGCCCGAGCCAGAGGCTCATATAATCGCAAGACAACACCCACCCATCTCACTCCAGGGGAGGAAAACCATCACACAGTAATCTCGTGCATGGAAAATTAACGTCTCCTACCCCTAACCCTGCAGGAGATGGGACCTCCATTTATTCATCCCTATTCGAGAAGACTAGAATATCTAAACCATTTCTTGATGTTATAGAAAGGAAGCATATTCTTCTCAATTATTTTAAGATCTTGAGTGTTGGTCCGGCCAGGGCTTGAACCCTCGACCTCCCACACATCAGTCCAGCGCTCTATCAATTGAGCTAACCGGGAGGCGGTTAAATAAAAAAAAATAACAGAAACATAACACATTCCTTTTAACCAATGTCACCTAGTCTTGTACCCTTTCCACTGCAAGTGAATTTGCATCAAATTCTCATTGATTTTTCTTGTTTATTGATTTTTTTCTAATGGAACATTAGCTGTATTGTGTTGTTCTGATGTCTCAACACTCATTTCAAATCCCTAATTGCCTAATATTCTCCCTACAGCTGTTACACATTCCCTTGTAAATTATTTTGTTACAAGAATTTGGTGTTAGATCAGATAACAACTTCTACCTGATAAGTTTGAGTATTCTTGTTACTTGTTTGCTGGATCATGTATGGATATTATAGGGAGAAGTTACAGATCAATCACTTCTGGGAGTTAAAGGGTTAACAGCATTAACTAA